TCTTCCCTTCTTAAATAGTAAGGGCTGTGTCTCATCATCCTCAGCATCCCTGCGAGGGGCACGGGGTGTCTGCTTTTTCCTTCTTCCCCTCTTTATCGGCAGGGACATCACCTCCTCATCTTCCCGGGGTCCTACCGTTTGAAGTTGCCTATATTGCTCTCGAGCTTGAGGGTTGCTCATCATTGATAAAGGGATGTTGAGTTCTGACAAAGTATTCAAAAAACCTGTCCAACCCTTAGGAGGCTGGGATTTTTTAAGGGACACGGTCAGACTTTTAAACAAGTCAAGCAGGTGTGAACCTTTCACAACATCTCCGTTATACACAAACTCTCCCCTGGGAGTCCACCCACCTCGGCTCTTGGTTAATTTCTTTATGATGTACTGTGCATTGTTACGATAGCGAGCCGGCAAGTTTTGCACAACTTCCCTTGCTGTTTCATCCAGTTTCTTGTCTTCTTCTTCTTCTTCTCCTTCTACTCGCTGCTTCAGTGCCTCAGAATCTTTAGCTACTGTCAGAGTAATGTGGCGTTCTTCCTTCTCTCCTTGTTTGACCAGAGCTAGGTATCTTTGCAGCAGGGCATTGTATTTCTTAATTTTTTCATAAGCGTTCATACCATCCTCGTTTAGTATTGCCCTCATTTTTTCATCCAAATCATTTTCTACCGTATGTCTCATTATTTCAGCGTTGGATGCAGATGGTACAGAATGATTCAGCCGGTTTAGTTGCTGAGGCGTCACCAAAAACATTTTCTGACTCGTGATTTATCTATTAATTAGCCCTCCCAAAATGACAGGAAGGATTGTTGAAAGAAGAGGTAACAGAAAGCCTCCAGACTGTTTTGTCAGAGCCTTATGTTTGGTTTTAAGACTTGTTTTTTTATTAGCCAGCAACCTTATTGTCTTATGTTTGTTATATTGAGCTGAGGTCATAGGAATGTTTCCTTTTAAAAGATTCAAAGAGAGTTCACACAAAGACTGAAGAAAGTCCGATGAGCAATTGTTGAGAATATCTTTACGCTTTTGAGGCGTGGCGTGACATAAAGCCCTCAGTAAAGGCGCATTCCTTTTTAAACGTGCTGACATGTTGGATCAGGACTTTGATTTGGGAAGATAGACAACGGGCCACTGGTGGGGTAGTACTCCTGATCTTAGTCTGTAAGTTTCTGGGCAACTAGGTGTGAGGTCCAAGATTAAATACCCGTGAGGATCTTTGGTAGCATCTTCAAAACTTTCTAAGAAAAAGGCTTTTCGTCCGGAAATATTTGTTGAGCTAATATACTCATCTGTAATCTATCTCGAGGGTTTTTAAACAAAACCAAATAGTTACTATTTAAACTAATTGTCCTACTGTGCTTTCCACGGTGAAATACATTTTGAGTCAACATGATGACACTCATTTTTTTGTGGTGCCTGTACTGTGTGAAAATTTTCACAACTTCAGGGTGATCAGAGGCCTGGAAAATGACATCATCCAAAATTATAAGATGATCTTGATCAGGTGGGAATAGAATTTCATCGTCAAAAGAATCAGGCAATCCTTCAACAAATTTGATCTTTTTATTCTTCTGCTGCAGTTCAGTGTACATCGGTTGATAAGAAGTAAAAATCCAAACAATATTACTAGGCATGTTGTCGATGACATGATTACAGGATTCCAACACAGACTTTACAAAATAAGTTTTACCGGACCCGCTTGGCCCCACAATTTGACAGGAGAAAGGTGTTCTTGGTCTAGGGTCAAACTCAATTTCATTGGATGAAAACATTTTTTTTTCTTCAATAGCCAAAAGGCAGGGTTTGACCTTGGCTCAGTAACCGTCTCTTGTCATACACCACTCTAAACTTTTTCTGGAATGATGAGTTTCTAAGGAAAAACCCCCTTTTATCTCGTACAATATTGTGCTGAGGTGTTTCAATGACACCCCCATCATCAGAGTTTAGCACATAATTCTCCACCAACTGTTTGACACTGTTAAAGTTAACTTGTTCACAACAATCATGCGTTTGAGTGATACCCTTTACACGAAGTACTACTTTGTTGTTACGAGTCTGGTACGCATAACTTTTAGGACCCGCGGCCGCGAATTCTTTTATGCTATCACCATCTAACTCATCAGTCAAATCTCCCATGTAATTACCCAGGTCAAGCCGTCTCTCCCCCTCTTTTGTGACATAGATAATACTGTCTGTATCATAATACAAGACCCTCTCCTGCAGCTGCTCCAAATAACTGTACAACTTTAGACGCCCATAAGCTGTGGTGAAAGCAGCTATAAAGACGTTGTCTACCTTGTTTGGAGGGGCAATACATTGCTCACCATAACTCCACTGCAACAATGCTGTTTTGTCGTTGACAAAGTATTTAACTTTATATTTTCCAGAAAACATAAAGTTAAAAAACTCTTCAGGGTCAGTGATTAGTTTAGTCTGTGTCTGATTCGAGCGTTGTGCAAATTTCCCCCAGAATGTGTTGAGACATAATTTGGAGACTTGTCTTTTTGCAGGATTCGGATGAATTTTAGACGCATCCAGCAAAACACCCTGATTGGTCTGATAGTCTTTGATGTACTTTTCTCGGGCTGCCTGATCTTTGGCTTCAGGAGGGTATCCTGAGCCGGGCCTCTCTCATGAAATCAAATGTACCGCGGCGCGCCGTCTCGTACCAGGTACCAGTCTTTCAGCTGTACCGTAGTCATGCGTTCTGTACCATACATTTTTGGCTCCGGGTAGGGACCTGTGTAGGTCAAATGGGCAGGTGAGCTAAAATTATGGGGAAAATAGCCTTTAATTCTGTCATCAAAATCGAGAGCTTTTGGCATATCGGCTAAACGCATGGAAAGAAAGGACAGTGAGTCAATGTATTTTTGATTAAAATCAGGATCTGTCATACAGATGACTTTTGAACCTTGCAAAATCAAAGAGGGTTTTAATGCTTGTTCAAGCATGGCGTTGAGGAGTAGGTAGGAGTCAAAACCTCGAGCATTGTGAGCAATAAACACAGCATTTTTGTACAGAGGGCGTCTGAAATGCATGAGAAACTCGTTGGCACAATTTCTGCCTTGAGAGCTCCATGTTTTGCCATCTAACGTTTTTGTACACACCAAAAAGGGTATGTGAACGCCATTTTCATTGACGTATGTTTCAAAATCATAAAACACCAATTTTTCTGTGTGTTTTGTTTCAGGTGGTAGTGTCTGGATGTAGCATTGGTGCATCTCGCTCTTATCTGTAACGTCAGAGGTCAAATTCTCACCACAGATTTTACACTTCACCGCAGGACATGTGTGTGGTTTACCTTCACCACTCATCGCTGAGTAGTAAAGCTGTGCACATTTGTTACATTTTTTGTACAACGAGCACGTGCTGGCTAATTTTTTGGCTCTGGGCCTCTCTGTAGGCTCTTTGTGCTTTGTCAGACAGAATTCTGAACGACATGTCCTGTTACACTCTTTACACACAATAGGCTGGAACCCCTTCTGATTACAGGTAGGGTCAAAGCAAACGGAACAATGAGCAGGGCATCGGTGACTCAGCACACAGTTGTACCCTGTGTAACAGTACTCACACAGATATGGGGAACCCAGAAAGGCCTTTAGATTTTTTATACCATAGTAGTGGTTCTGAAAGAGAAACAAAAATAGGGTTTTACTCTGTGTTGGGCTTTTGGTCATGAATTTACAGAGGGACCTATCGTCGTCTCCTCTATAAAACACTACAATTTTGCAGTTTTTGTTCAAATCGCGTGATGTCGCTTAAGGCTACAGGTGTCTGATCATCCATTCCCACTTTGTTTTGAATCTCTCTGCCGCATTCAAGAGCCTGTCTATCGTTGAGGAGGGGATGTAGAAGATGAGCCAGACAGACGGCGAAACACAACTGATTCCCCTCGTTTTCTACAATGTACAGAAAGCGTTGTTTTTTTTTTAAGATTTCGCATTGTCACATTTTATCCACCATTGCTCTTTTACCCGCGCCTGTAGGGCAGGTGATCACTTGGAGAACCAGTTCTAGATCACCATCTGTCATAATGGTCCAATTGGATTGTACTATGCGAAGCAAAAGTCTTTCAAAACCTGCTAAATTGTCAACATCACCATCCTGTAAGATAACTGATACATTATTACGGAGATTTTCACCTCTTAGCTCCAACTGCACCACATCTTGGGGTCTCCTGTGTGACAAGGCTTGTTGTAAAATCGCATCTACCTGCTCCAGTGTACCATTGTAAAACTGAGCATAATCCACTATACCCTCTGCATTGGTTGGAGAAGGAAAGCGCAACACCTGACGTATTTCATAATTACAGAATCTATGTCGTGATATGACTCTTGCTTGAGGTGCCACAGGGTCATTATTTTGAGACACGCTGCCCCCTTGCTGTTGCAAGGGAGGAGTGTTGGCTACCTGCTCCATGAGGGGGGAGTTAATGGGGGTCTGATAGGTCGAGGATGTAGAGGGGTTTAAGGCAGGGATTGCATTATTTTCAAGCTCGGAGAGAGCATTTTGTATTTGAATCAAGAGGTCTGGAGACACAGATGAGTTTAAGACAGGAATATGCTCGGGTTCGGGTAAAGAGGGGATGTTGTTTTGGTGAAAGGGTTCATTCATTTGGTTGATTTCATCTAATAAAGCAGTTGGTATTTCATTTTCTAAGCGTTCCAGATCAACGAGAGCTTGATTTATAGCGTGTAACGGATCTAAGAACTGACTGGAGGAGGTCTCGTTTTCAATTACACTATTTTCAGTTATACCATTTTGAAAGTTTGACTCATTCTGATAATGTTGATCTACCTCGTCTGATAAACTCTGCCTAAGCCCTAACGGTTTGTTTTCATCCATTATCATAAAATCAAAACACACTTAAACCTTAAAACAGACACTATAAAAAACACGATAAACACGTTTATCTAACTATTGCAAGTGAAAATCAACAATAAAAACAATTACCCAATGAAACAAACAAAAAAAATCATTTAAAACAAATTCAGATAAATCACCTTCTAATTATGATCACTGTAGACAGCCAGCATTTCACCCATTAGTCGGAAAGCATTACTCATTAAAACTAGTTGTTCATGGGCAGTCCGACAGCAATTCTGACAGCCTCTCACGGATCGTCGGGGTCTGTTTGCTGGAGGGACACAAAAACAAAGACACTTTAACCTCTTTTGTGTATTTTAATACAGAAAGTCAGGCATCACCCCTACAAATCACTACATTAATACTTTATAGCAAACAAGCAAACTAGTTTTTTTTTAATTCTTACATTATCTTGTAACTAAATACCCTGAATGTCAGACATCAGTACCAAAACACTGTAGAAGTGCAAAACAAACAAACAAACACCACAGTAATAGCCTACTTTATGAAAAAGAAGCAAAATAGCTTTTAGAGTCAGGTTAACTCATAAGACTACTTGCTGCATAGAACATTTGACATGCTGTTGTATTTGAGAAAATAGTGTGGAATACTTTTAACTCATTAATTGTATAGCCTAATAATCAGCAACATGGTATCACGGGAAACTGTGTATATAGGCTATACTTTTTTTATGACTGCATATTTTCTAGGTTAATGGTTTTAGAGCGTTATAACAATTTACTTACTGCTGCTCCTACTACTGCTACTGCTGGTTGAAATGAGCCTTCTACGGTGTTCCCTTTTCCGAGGTCCGTTGTTCGGTATAGGCTCAGTCTGATTCAGCGGCGTACACGGTTCTGCTGGGTCCGGATGAATGATTTCCTCCGCTGTCAGTCCCCGCGCTTCTACCGGTGATCCGTTACGTGACCTCCCATCTGCGGCCTGACTGGAGCGCTCTACATCATCGACGGGTGATTCCGGGGACACATCCGGCTCATCGTGTTCCGGGGACCCCGGTGTTATGTACGCTTGCGGTACTGAAGCCGAGGGCTGATCCGATTCCGGAACCGGACCGTTCTCCTCGTAAATGGTAGGGGAGAGACCCTGCATAAAGTACCGTTCACAATCGCTCGCACCATCTGCGGGTGTAATGAAAGAAAAGAGTACTGTTACCACATCTGCGTAAAAGTTTGTAAATAAATAAATAAAACCTACACACTGATTAAAAGTTAAGGTAACCTTACTTACCGACTTCTCCTGTGAGATCTACAACCTGCTCTGATGGAATGCCATTCTCCCTTGTAGAACCTATTTCCTCGCCTGAGTACAAATCTGTAAAAAACAATATACAAAATACACATCAGGATAGTACACTTTAAAATTTAGAACATTTCTATTTCACTCTAGTACATAGAAGGCCCTCTTACCTTCAAGTTGATATTCGGTTGAATGAAGCCCATTGTCGATCAAGTCAAAAACTGTTAATTGAAAACACGCAGGAATGAAAATACAAAGTGTCGATTTTTGCTATTTCTTAAGTTGCGGAGGAAAGGCTGAATGCGTACCGTGTTCTCTTTGAAGGGTCATCGCTCTGGTTTCAGGTCACTAGTGTGAAGACCTCAGGATTTCTGGTAGGGTACTTATAGAAGTAAGAAAAAAAAAAACAAAAAAAAAACAAACAAACACACGAGTGCTGCTCTGCATGTGGGGTTGGGGCCCTTACTTCTGGTACAACCAGATTATTATTTAGTTCCAAACTCTTGTCTCCGGCTGATAAAAATAGCTTCCTGTTTCAAAAACGAACTCACGAACTCTGTCTGATAAAACCAGACCGTTTTTTAACATCCGGAGTCTGGGTTATAGATAACCATAGTTAATAACTGGTCTACAAGATTACCTGAGGATGGCAGCTAAACACACAACACGCATCATTGAGAAAACAGAGGGAGGGTTTACACGACTCCCCAACACGACTCGTTGAGAAAACAGAGGGAGGTGCGGGGGGTGGAGCACATTCCTCAATTCACCCCACAGCCTATGCTACACCAGAAAGAGAGAGGACACAGAAGAAGGAACACAGACTCTAGAAGGATTAAAGTTTTAAGACTCACAAGTTTAAGACTAGGCTACAGCTTTGGAGTGATAATGATGGCAAGTTTGTAAGACAAAGCAATAGCAAAGTAATTTGGAACACTCTCTTATTTTGCTGCATGCTGTTGAAGGTAATTTGTAATGCTGTTTAATTTTTACTCACCGTTATACCATTTTACTGCTTTACTGTCATTATTTCAATTTATTCTTCACTTGTTTACTGATGGTAAGTTTGTCACACAAAGCTTTAGCAAAGATTTTGAAGGTAATTAAAAAATGCTGTTTAATTTTAACTCACTGTTATACTATTTTACTGTAATTATTTCATCTTATTCTTTAGTTCTTTAATGATGGTAAGTTTGTCACACAAAGCTTTAGCAAAGATTTTACAAAGTTTAATTTTGGAACTCACTCTTATTTTGCTGCATGCTGTTGAAGGTAATTTATAATGCTGCTTAATTTTTACTCACCGTTATACCATTTTACTGCTTTACTGTCATTATTTCAATTTATTCTTCACTTGTTTAATAATAAAGACTGACTTCATTCCAAAGAAACCTCCTACTGATCCTTTGCTGGCCCCGGAGATTCCTCCTTTTACTTATAACTCACTGCTATACTTTTTTAATGATAAATTTATTGTCACAAACACCTCCTAGTTAATTCATTCAAGTTGTATTACTTAATAAAGTCTTTAAATCAATGAAAAACACACAATGGAAGGATGTACGCAACCCTCTTATCAGTTACATACAGACATATTTCTGGTTGGGGCGGGACAGGATGCACCCCCTCTTATCAGTTACATACAGACATATTTCCGGTTGGGGCGGGACAGGATGCACCCCCTCTTATCAGTTACATACAGACATATTTCCGGTTGGGGCGGGACAGGATGCACCCCCTCTTATCAGTTACATACAGACATCCGGTGGGGGTGGTGGGACCGGAAATAGCTGTCAAAAATGAGTTTGATGGAATGTCATGTATACTTTCTCTCTCACACCAAACAACAAATTAATCTGCCCCAGCGTCTTTGGTCTGGGACAGGCCAGAGATTCTCGTTCTCCACCTCCTTTTCCACCTCTTCCTCCCTACTCCCACCCTACTGGATTTAGTGATGAAATAATGTATGAAAATTGTAAAATACACAACTTTCTGTTGCTGGCCTCTGTCTGGTGCGCGCAATGATGACGCAGTGAATAGTGACGATTCTCTCTGACCAATCAGTTGTCCGCTGTGTTTTCAAATCACATTTTAGTATCCCTCAGCTCGCTTGTAACCACGATGAAGAAAACAGACATGGGTTTTTGCTTTTCTGTTTTAAAACCAAAACGGAAAAATATTGACTCTGATATGATGACTTATATTGAGTCCGATTTGTGTAGCTTTGTGTGTTACACTTGATAAACCTGCAGCAAATACACTTCACTAATTCACTTCACTAATTCAGTGATAGTTGTCAGTACATCCAATGGTACACAGCAAACACGAACTAGTTAATTTGGCGAACTGTGTATTAGCGAATCACACATGTATTAAAAGGTTCGGGTAACTTTCGTTCAGCCTCTCTGTTTCAACCTGACCTTTATTTTGTGAGAGGAGAGCGGAGAGCCTCCAGCTGCGTCGTGTAAAAAATTCAAGACTTGGGCCAGATAAGAAATCTTGAACTTTTACCAACATTTTTATTATCAACAAAAACAGACACCAATTAGAATACAAAAGTTCCACTGGAGTGTGTCAGAGATCGGTGCAAATTAGAGTCCCATTCTGTTACCAGAACAGAGACCCGAGACGACATGAAACCATGTAACAACTGACTTTCACCTCCTTTTGGACCTCCTTTTATAGCTCTGTTTCTTGGCTTCACATCATCTCTTGGCTCTCTTTCCTACTGCACACTGGGTCAGGGAAAGTCCAAGATTTTCACGTGCCTCAGCATTTTCAGCATTTGGCGGCCTTATCTCATTTTTATCACCAGCGTTTGTGCCGGGGGGTGGAGTCAGTGTCTTGGACTTCAGATTAGATCTGCTGTTGTTCCAGGTGGAATTGTAGCATCCTGGTTAATCACATAATTCCTTTTTTCCTATTAATCAGTCCATTTCAGCAATTTTCATAGTCCTTGTGTTTTTGTAGCTTGTCAAACACATGTAATATGGCTATCGATGTATTGTCCAATTACAGCAGTGATTAAAGTTCTTTACAGCTGTAGCAACCTCATTGGTGGTTGTGATGAACGTCTGTTCTTCCTCACGCTCTCTGGGCCCTCCTACTGCTGTTCTGCTGCTTGGCTCCGCCCATGGGTATATTGGACAGTCCTTTTGATGGTCGGGCTGGTTGCACCCGTAACACAGACTCTCTCCAGCTGCTGGTCTTACCCATCGATTTGTTGGGCATTTAGTTTTTTTATGACCAATCTGGTTGCATCCATAACACACCTCTCCTTCACCTTGGGGTCGGTTGAGCTGTAGGTTGGTCTTATTAAAGCCTCTTCTTCGTCCACGACGACCAGGACCAGCCCTGACATTCGGTGGCCCCTGGGGGCAATTGTAACAACCATTGCTCCCTGGAGTACTTGGGTATGCACGCATTGGCAATGGAGGTGCCTGCTTTATAGTATTCAGCGTCAGTTGCATTTGTTTAATGGTCATCACTGGAGCCTGCATGTTGTTCTTTACCTTCTTAGACTTTTTTCTGTTTGTTGAAAATCCTCCTGAGTTTCTCTGATACTCCAGACACGTAAGGAATCACAATGTTGTTGCGTTTGACCTTCTTTTCCTCCTCCCTTGTAGTTTTTACTCTTTGATTCACACCACCCACTGGAGCACAAGCTAGGGGTCATGAGAGCACTCCACCACAGAGCGGAAAACATACCAACAAGCGCCCAAGCCAGAGAGAAGGAACAGAACCACCTGAAGGGGGCACTTACAGCCTGTGGATACCCTAAATGGACCTTTGTGAAAACAGCCACAAGATCCAAGAAGAACAAAACTACAGGGGAGGAGGAAAAGAAGGTCAAACGCAACAACATTGTGATTCCATACGTGTCTGGAGTATCAGAGAAACTCAGGAGGATTTTTAACAAACATAACATCCCTGTGTTTTTTAAACCCAAGAACACACTAAGACAGATGCTGGTGCACCCCAAAGACCGCACACCCAAACACAAGAAAAGCAATCTAGTGTATGCGGTCCAATGCAGTGAGGAATGCACAGACCTGTATATTGGGGAGACTAAACAACCACTACACAAACGCATGGCTCAACACAGAAGAGCCAACTCCTCAGGTCAAGACTCTGCAGGGCACTCCTGAGGACACTCGTTTGAGGACCACCAGGTGCACATTTTAGACAGAGAAGATGGATGGTTTGAAAGAGGTGTCAAGGAAGCCATCTACACCAGGGTTGAGAAGCCATCATTAAACAGGGGAGGGGGTCTACGCCACCACTTATCCCCCACTTACAATGCTGTCCTTTCATCACTTCCCAGGAAACTCAACAAACGTAACCTATTGGCCTCAGGTGAAGATACCAACGATGGTCGTTCAGTCTTGGCCACAGGTAGTCTTAACGACTGTAACGACTGTCGTCACAGCAACAAGGAACACTAAGGAACCAGCGGTATCGATGACCCGGGCCAACGACCCCACTGAGGTTAAATAGCTGAGTTTCCCTGCCAGTCAGTCAGAACTGAAGAAGTCCTTTTGATGTGGGACGAAACGTCTTCCAGTATCTTCAACCAAGTCCAGTTGCCCTTGATTTTAACATTCGGTGGACACAATTTCTGTTGTTTCACCTGTGCTCTATATCTATATTAGTATGCTCGTTCCAGCCAAAAAATGTTTTCTGTAGTTTCGTTTACTATCATAATGCTTTAGTATGCTGCTTCAGCTTCACTACCTTTTTCGTATCCAGCAGTCATCACCATTCTTTTACTAATCTGCTTACTGTCAGGCTGTTATTGGTTCAAAAAACGTTAATAACTTCTGTTACTATTAACTCATGAGTAACTTGCTATAACGTGCTGTTGTTTTACTATAAAGGTGCAACAGATCACAAAACTCTCATATAACTTTTGGTTTAGGGCTGAACTGCTCTCTTTTTCTCTCTCTCAGCCTGCTGTCCTCCCCCACATGGACACACTCACACTCACACAGACACAGCTGCACCTCAGCTCCTGCTCTGGGCCCCTCCCACGCTGCACTCTCTGTTAGCGTGAGCAAACTCCTTTTTTTTTTTATCTCATCCAGTCTCCATTATTCGGGCGTGGACTGCCACTTCAGAACTTAATTTTGCACATAGCTATATCACAATTCGATCAGAGACTACATCAAAATCGTCTTTCACACTATACTAGTCCACATTAACTATTTCATCAATATATATTCATTTATTTATTACTTATATCAACTACTCATCAGTACTTTTGTAATTTATTTATATTTTCACTATATGTTAAGCTTATCCACACTAACTCTGCGCTGGGTCTTCTCACCAGGCTTTTCACTATACGCTGGACTGCTCAACAGCGTTTTACCCCTCCTACATCTCCTTAATCAAGACTACTCATCAATGCGTTTAACTAACTGCTGTGGCTTCTCATCAGCCCTTT